GATAACACCCCGACAACACCTCGATAGCACCCCGAGAACACCCCTATAACACTCGATAGCAATGTTATCGACATGTTACCGAGGTGCTCTCGAAGTGTTATCGAGTGTTGTCAAGCGTCCTCGAGCTCGACAACACTCGATAACATCCCGATAGCCATGCTATCGGGTTTTATCGAGCTCGATAACACTCGATAGCAATGTTATAGACATGGTATCGAGGTGCTATCGAGTGCGATCGAGTGTTATCGAGCTCGATAAGACCTCGATAACCTTTCTATAACAGTGCTATCGTGTGTTATCGGGGTGATATCGAGGTGTTGTCGGGGTGTTATCGGGCGGTCGCGCTTTCGTGCGTTTAGCGTCCAAGCTGTCGCTGAGCTGTCGCTGCGCTGCCACTGCGCTGCCGCAGAAGCGCGCGGGCACTTATACCACGCGGCCGTCGCATCAGAGGCCGCTGCTGCGCAGCTGTCGCATCAGAGGCCCCGCGGGAGGCCGTCCGCGAAATTCTGCATGGCCCGGTCAACGACGTCTCTCGAAGCGCAAACGACATTGCACTCGGCCCTGAACGTGTTCGCGACCCCCTCGGCTGCTGGCAGCGCTGACACGCTTCGGCCGCTCGGCCCATGCTTCCGCGCAGCTCAAACAGCATGTTCGTCTCCACCTTGGCCGCAGTCCTCAGCCCCCGAGCACCGATGATGGGTTGCAGCGCTCCGTCATCTCGGCCGACCTGCAGGCCCGGAACGGAGTTGTTTCTCATTGTCTCGACGGCACTGGCTATCTCACCGACCGCAGCGGTCAGCCGCTGGATCTGGTCGTTCATCCCGTCATGATCCGTGCTCTTGTCCTTGTCCTTGTAGCCCTTGCCGAAGCCTTCGCCCTTGTCCTTGTCCTTGCCCCCGCCCCGAAACCCTTGGGGATGATCGCTGGCCATGCTGCTTGACCTGCGCCGACCTGGGGACCTGGGGATCTGCTGCCCCTCACGCCCTGGGGACCTGCTTCTTGACGGCGGGGGGAAGGTCTGGCGGCCTTGGGACAGGGATGGCCTTCTCACGCTGATCTCTGCATGCCTCTCTGTCAGCCTCTCTGTCATTGTAGTTCTCAAACTCCATATCTGGCTCCACCTCATCCAGGACCTGGCTCGCCAATTCGACGGAATGTTCTGGAGAGTACGATGCATCAAGTGATGCTTGACGTAGCACAGCACCTGACCTCGACTCTCTCACGACCAAGCTTTCGCCTTGCTCCACGAAGCTTCCCTGCATTCATCAGGCCTCGGGTACGCAACGACTCTCCACCAAGGACGCACGCCCCCAGTGCCGTCGTCTTCACGGTTCAACCAGCAATTCTCAGCATTCGTCTCGGGGGCCCCGGCTGCCGCTCGAGCGGCGCAAACTTCTACCCCTGCGGGCGGGTTGCTTGAAGCCTTCAAACGGCTAAAGCGCAAAGCGCTTCGGGAGGCGCAGCGTAAATCGCTTCGGGCGGCGCAAGTTGTTTCGGGCTTGCGGCTTTATATATATATATATATATATATATATATATATTCGGCAAGGTAAATAATACGTTGGCAACAGAATTCATATGCGGCGCGGAGCGCTGCCTGGTCTAAATGGCAACCACAGTCTAACGCACAGGCTGTTTCAGCCCCTGCCCCACAAGCGCACTGCGCTGCCGCAAGACTAGGCCACCCCCAAGCGCACTAACCCCCAAGCGCACTGCGTTGCAGCAAGGCTAGGCCACCCTCTCAAAGCACCGCGCCGCCCAGCAAGGCCATGGGCCACCCCCAAGCGCACTGCGCTCGCTGCACAGCAAGCACTGTCACCACGCGCGCTCGCGCTGTTAGTTTCTTTCCGTATAGCCTTTTTGGTACAAGGATCGCAGCGCGATGCGCTTCGTTACAATATCTATCGCTCGTCCTTGCCATATCGCTTAGCGGATGGCCGATGCCGCTGATCAGCGCGGGACTCGACTCGTCGCGAAGGTCGTTGCGCAGAAGCAGACCATCAAGGGGCTGAAGGCCACGATCAGAAGGCAGGGGCGCCTGATCAATCGCATCGCGGACATGGCCAGGGGGCACAGGGCCGCGGAACGGCATAGGGCAGGGGCCGGCGCTCTGCAGCGGCAGCGGCAGCGGGCAGAGGCCAACGCTCTGCAGCAGGAGCGGCAGTGGCAGGAGGCGCGGCGGCAGGAGTACCTAAGGATGAGGATGGCTGAGCAGAGACAATGGGCCGCAGAGGCGCGCGAGAGGAGCGAGGCGCCTCCTTTTCGCAATTGCGGGGCGACCGATGAACCGACTGTTGTTCCCGACCTCAATCAGGCGACTGCTGCGAGCGATGGCGACCGCAAAGGAGATGGCGACCGTCAAGGAGACGGCGACGGCCAAGCCGATGAGGCGCTTGATGCAGGCGATGGCGACCGTCAAGGATGCGATCTCGATCTACACCTCTGAGTTGGCCGTCGCGGCGGCGCCGATGACGACGCAAAGTCGACGAGGGCGAGGACGACGGCGGCGACGAAAACACGACGAGGACGGTGACGACAGCGACGACGACGACGCTGAATGTTAAAATTTGAATGGTCTACATATAGTGCCGTGGCCTCCCGAGCGGACGGCTGGCGGTTGCGTCGCGGCATAGACCTCGCGGCTCCGTCCCGGCCAGGGACGCCTCGTTGGAGCACAGCGCTACGCGCTTGAAAAACATATTGTCTGACGCAGCGCTATGCGCTTTAAATGCACAGCGCTATGCGCCTCAAATGTATGGTCTGGAATCTAGAGTGCAGGCGCAGCGCTATGCGCTGAAAATGCACAGTCTGGCGTTGCGCCATGCGCTTAATATGCACAGCGCTATGCGCTTCAACTGTATGCTCTGGAATCTGGGGATCGGGCGCAGCGCTATGTGCTTAACATGTATAGTCTGAAATCTGGGGCAGTGCGACAGCGCAGCGCGCTTTAGTGATCCTTTGTTTTTTCACAGCGGCAATGCGCTAACGGCCCGATTCGCGGGCAAGAGTAACGGCCCGATTCGCGGGCAAGAGCGATTATACAGTTCATCAGGTGGCTGCTCTATTTCTTCCAGCTGGACTTCCAGCCGCTCGCTTTGCCGCCATGCTCCTCCTCCCAGTCTCCACTGCGCGTTCCACTCGGTCTCTCCATCCGACTGCACAGGGCCCCCGGCGTGGCCAGTGCCGCTCGATGCCGCCGTCGCCGCATTGCTGCCCAGCTGGAGATGTTGGAGCTTTTCCAGGACGGACCCCAGCTTGTCCATGACGGACTCCAGCTTTTCCAGTTGTTCATTTTTCTTCTTCTTCTTCAAGACCTGGTCCATCTTCACCTCCGGCTCGTCCAGTTTTGCCGTCTTCTGCAAGACCTGGTCCAGCTTCTTATCTAGCTCGCGCACTAGTGCCGCCTGGACCCCGACATGGCCCATGCCATTCACCATGGCAAGAGCCTTGGGGTCATTCAAAGCCTCGTCCACCTTCTTCAGCACGAGGTCCGTTTTCTCCTCGTTATGGATGAAACTGGCGAGTAAGCTCTTCATCGCGTCACCATTCTGCGCAACCATCGCGCTCACAGCAAACATGAGGTCCACGTTGTCGATCGGCCCCGCCGCCGCCGCCGCCGCGCTCAAGCCAAAGGACGCCCCCGATGGGGCGCCTAGCTTGGGCCCCCCCGCTGCGGCATTATAGGTGGGCCATGCATCTCCTGGTGGCGACCCTGAGGAAGGACGGCCGCTGCGAGCCCCCCGCTTCTTTTTGCCGCCTCTGCTGAGGCGTCGGCCGCTGGGGCTGCTGCTGCCGCCGCCCCCGCTGCCGCCGCTCCCGCCACCGCCGCCCCCGCTGCCGCCACCACCGCCGCCGCGTTGGCCGGCGCCTCCTCCGTCGGCGCTGCGCCGCCCCACCCTGCGCCACCGAGACCACCATCATCGGTGGGAGTCGGCCCCCCATACTTGTCGGACCATTGCAACTTTCTCGATGACGACCTGTAACATTGTTCCAGCCCTCTTGATGTTTTCTCGGCACTGCCATTCTCTTTTTTCCAATGTTGCCTTCCTTGGTGCTCAACAGACTCTAAGTGCTCATTGGTAACCGTCTTGCAATTGCCTCTCTTCCTCGCGCACAGCGCGCGCGCCCAACGTGCCGAAACAGAACCCGAGCTGGCCACGCGCATGCGCCACGGCGCGCTTCGCTTCGAGCCATCTTTGCACACCAATATCTCAGGGCAGTCCGCCTCCGATACCTCATAGTACTCCCCGCCCCATGCCTGAACTCCAGTCGGCCCACTAGCGGCAGCGGTCACCATCGCTGGCTGGTTCTGCTTCGCCGGGCGAATCTTCGCGGCCCCAAATGCTCGAGCCTAGGTTGCCGAAGGGAGCGCGGGGAGGTTCACGTATGAAACAGCTCAGCCTGGGCCCTTCTCAGGGCGGTGGTTCGGGGGGAGGAGGAGATCATCATCACCATCGTCATCATTATCGTCATCATCATCATCACCACCACCGCCACTCATTCATTCACTCACTACACAGCCATGCGTGCATCGCGAGGAAGTCTCAGGCGGGAGACCCCCCCTTATGGGACGCGCGGGCCATGTTATTAATCTCGCGAATTATCCTTCCAAGCGCAGCGCGCTGCACCTACTCGTGGGTAACATTGCATTTCTTTCGTGACCGTCGCGTTTGGCTCAGCCCGTCGACCGCGATTGGCTCAGCACGCGGCCTCGGCAGCGACCTTCGCTGCAGCGATGGAGGATCTCACGGCCCATTCTGGTCTAGCTGAAAAAAGTTTTGCAGAGCTGATATCATCGCTCGGCGGCTTACCCACCTCTACCGCACGCCCCGAAGCAGAGCAAGGCCCCCCACCCCCTACCGAGGCCGGCGGGCGCCCCCATGACGCTCGGACCAGTACCCGAGAGCACGCAAAGCCTGCAGAACAGGATAGCAGAGAATTCGATGGCGAACGATGCACTGCACAAAATCGAACCCATGATGTATACAAGGGGAGAATTCATGACTCGAGCCAATCAGCTGAAGGAGAAGGAGATGCAGCAGCAGGACCTTGTGCCTACAACCCTGCAGCAGAAGCTGGTCGAGTCACTGGCCAGTCACGTACCAGAGGCGAAGGCTGCGCATGCATGGCAGGAGCCGATGAAGCAGGACCAGGTCTCGGAGCAGTAGTGGGTCCACGAGGGCCAGGCACACCACCATGAACACTGGGCGCAGGACGACGAGGCGCAGGACTGGAAGTGGGGCGAGACGCAGGACGAGCGGGACGAGCAGTGGGACGAGGCGCAGGACGAGAAGTGGGACGAGCAGCGGGGCAAGGCGCAGGACGATCAGTGGGACGAGGCGCAGGACGAGGAGTGGGACGAGCAGCAGGACGAGGCGCAAGGACGAGAAGTGGAAGCAGCAGCGTCATCAGTGGCGCGAGGTGGTGGACCAGCGCTAGCAGGCTGAGGAGCAGAAGTGGCTCGCGGACGAGAAGGAGCAGTGGCTCAGCTGGAACTGGGGCGAGGAGCAGCAGGCGCAGAAGCAGAAGTGGCCCGCGGACGAGTGGAAGCATAATCGGCAGTGGCTCCGCTCGGGGTGGGATCAAGAGCAGCAGGCGCAGCAGGCGAAGCGGCCCGCGGACCACGCGGAGAGCGAGTAGCACGCCGATGAGCACTTGCAGGGGCCCTTGGACGAGGCCCAGTACTATGCCTGCGACACAGGAGAAAGCACATGGCAAGCCAGGCCGCCAACTTTGACTGTATCCGAGTGGAAGCGCTGGCATCAGGAGCAGGCTAAGGTGCTTGAGGCTGCAGCCACATGGCATCAATACCAGGCCTGGCAGGCGACTGGGCAGTCCGGCGCGGAGTGGGTGAGACAATGGGTTCCTCCAGACCAGTGGGAGATATTGCAGGAAGGACCTCGTAAGGGCGATGCCGAGACATGGACGCATGCGCATCACTTGCTGCGTAGGTTAGGGGCGACGTTTTCGGAGGAAGGCCATCAGGCTGCACAGCTGCCGATGATGTCACCACAATACTGCGGAGAGGCGGTGGTGGAGAACAAGTCCTAGAACCACGTCAGAAGAGGCAGAGGCAGCAGCGCGGTGGCAGGCTCAAGGATTAACAAAATGCCAAGCATGCCGCGGAGCGACAAGGATGGTTGACTCAGTTCCTGGCAGAGAACCCCGACCCGCGGAGGCGCAGCTGGATGAGGCGCAGCCGTAGGCCTGCCAATAACTTAGCGCGCGCGCTGTATATATACTGCTTAGCGCCTGCGCTTCAATACGCTTGCTGCGCTGCATTGTAAGAGCGCAGAAAAGCAACATGGCCGTCCCAGCGCTTTGCGCTGTAATCCTAACCTCACCCCTCCCGAGCGCACTGCGCTACAATGCTAAGCCCATGGCACTTGACGGCGGCGACGAGGAAAGGGATGCGGAGGAGCGAAGGGGTGGGTGTTATGGAGGAGAGGTCAGGCGCGAGGAAGAGCTGGAGCCCGAAGGACAGCGCCACGCGCTCGGGATCAGAGAATCGAATATGAAGAGCCCCGGCTAAGCGCTGAACGCTAAGCGCCAAGCGCTACGGGGAGGTAGGATGAATCATTTTCCCTGCTGGCGAAAAGCAGCGCTAACGCTATACCTGCGCACCGCAGCGCAGGCCACCAGCGGCCCGATCGCTCCGCCAGCATCGATGAATGTCCGCATCACTTGCGCCCGTCTGAGACCCATTTCCTCGCCGCCGACATCGCCGCGGCCATCGTCTTGAAATTGCGGCCCTCCGCTTCTTCCCATCGGAAGCCCTTGCGCAACATCCCGCCGCTCTTTTTTTTCCAGAATCCGCACTTGCGCGTTCCCGCGCGAGTGCTCCACGTCGAACCGCGCCTTGCTGGTTTCCAGACTCGGCTTAGCAGGCGCATGGTGCTTGAGCGACTTGGCAGGCGCGTGCATGTTCTTCTTGCGCTTCACGGACTTCCCTGGAGTTGCGTCCGCCTCGCCTTCATCCTCCGACGCCACTTCAGTCTTCGACGCTTTTCCAGTCGTTGCATCTGCCTTCCTCTTCGCAGTCGCCTTCTCCTCCGTCTGCGCCTTCGGCTTCGCCTTCGGCTGCCCATCCATCTTCGCGTCCGCCATCGCCTCCTCCGCCTTAGCCTTCGCCGCCGCCCTCCTCTCCTCCACGTTCGCCTTCGCTTTCTCGAGCTTGGCCTTCAGCTTCTTCTTCTTATTCTTCTTATTCTTAGTATTATTCTTCCTCGCGCCCCTCGCGCCCATGAGCTCCAGAAGATGAGTCGCCGAAGGCGCAGGCGCTGGCGCAGCGGCCGCGGGAGGCGGCGCGGGCTCTTCAGCGGCCGCAAGCGGCGGCGCAGGCGCAGCCGCCGGCGGCGGCGCAAGCGCAGCTGCATCAGCGCTCCTGCCCCCCTCGTCGGCGCTAGCGTCAGCTAGGGCGAAGAACTCATCACTGCGGGGCCGCATCGGCAACCGAGGTCAAGGCCATCGCGCGACGCTGGACTTGATATGCGAGGTCAAGCAGGGGCGCGATGGTTTGCGCGAAGGGGCGGCGCAGTTGCGGCGAGCCCACCACGCCGAGCACCTTCGATTGCATAAAGAGGCGCACGGCACAGCGAACATCCTGCCGAAGCACCACACGACGGTTGACGCGGCCGACCAGTGGGAACGCGAGGGGGGGGGGGGCCAGCGCTGCTGCGATATATGCATGTGTGGTCGAGCGGTTGCACATCAGGATAAAGTATTGCATGGGCCCGATCGACAATACCAGGAACTTTGAAGCGTCATGCTTGGCGTCTTCGATTAATGTCCACCTGATGGCCTTGGAGGACCGCGCGTTCGGCGATGGCCTCCCAGGGAAGACGTCGTGTCTTGATGGGACGCGGGTGCCACTAGCAGATCGAATGTATGTCTCTGGCATTACCATCGAGGTTGGTGGCATCGTTCTGCTCGAAGGAGTTGCTGGCAGAGTGCGCGTTTGCCTCGTTGAGGATGGCAATCACCTGGCATTGGTGGGGACGTTCGAGCACGTGGTCATGCTGCCAGCGCACCCCGACCGATGGAAAGTTGGAGGCGCCATCCAGGCGTGGCGCGCGGGCGCTGTGCTCTCGGCGCCTGCGCGGTACATGTGCGGCGATGGCGTCGCCGCGTTGCGATTGACACAGCGCCACGCGCTGGAAAAAAGGCCCCCTCCCCCATGCTTCTATATTAGCGCCGCGCGCTCCATCCAGCCCTCGCGCCGTCGATCGATCTCGCTGTGGCCCCCACCCTTTCCAAGCGCAAGCGCTCTTCCCCCCTCCCCCCCCCCCCTCTTCCGCTAGTTCAGCCTGCCCACCGCCCATCATAGCGCTTGCGCTGCCACTACCAACTGCAATATCTGACCCTTTATGTTCCGGCACCAACACGGGAAACCCCGGGCTCGCAACTTCGGGCCAAGGGGCCCGCGGGAGAAGGGGGAGGACGACTACGTGGAGGACGAGGAGGAAGAGCGGTGTGTAGTCATAGCGCATGCGCTCGAGCTCAGGCCGCCCATGCAGCGCTTGCCGCTCAATCCGATTCAATCCGAATCGCTGACTCCGCCCCCGAAGACGTAGAGGCGTTAACAACGCCCCCGAGAGCGGCAATCACGCGGTTCGTCTCAAGGAGATCCGACCTCGCCGACTCGAATACCGACGTTGTTGTCTCCATCTTCTGACTGCACTCCTGGACCTGACAACGGAGGCCCACGTGATCCTCTGGGCCCCACTCGCGCACGACGTCCTGCATCTTGACCAGGCACGCACGCGCGGAGCGCAAGTAGCCCGCTGCCATGAAGATCATCTCGTCGTCGCCTGTGCCGCTCTCAGGGAGCCCGCGCCCGTCGCCGCGGCTGCGGCTGCGACTTCTGCCGCCCGCTTTCGGGCCCTCGTTTTTGGCGCAGACCGTCACCGCGGAGGCCGCCGAGCCACGGGGGCGGCCAGAACGACACGGTCAAGGACAAGACGGCTACGGCCACTACCTTCGGCGAAGGTCACCCATCGAGCCCCTGGCGCGCGCGCGTTCCCACTTGCGGCGAAGACCACCCGAGACACCCGGAAAGGCCTAGCCAAACTGGAACCAGACTACAAACAAACGGCGGTAAACGGACGATGGGGCCCATAGCGCGCCAAGCCGCGCGCTTGCGAAAATAGATCTCATCAGCGCGAACCGCGCAGAGACAGCGCAAGGAGCTGGAAGAGGAGCGGTGATCAAAGGAGCGCTTTGCGCTGCGATTGACACGTGGGTGGACATGCACACAGACATAACTATATCTGTATATAGCGCATGCGCTCGGTTGCTCAGCGCGCGCTTGGGCGTTTTTTCCCCCATGCAGCGCTCAAGCGTTTGAACGTGCTTCAGCTGGCTCGATTGTAGTTCACCCAATATCAAGCCCGTGCAGCCCAGCAACCATCCCAACAGCCGGTTAATACCCGAAGACTGCATCAGCTTGCCCGACTGCATCAAGTGGTCCACTGCTGCAGTTGCCTGAATTGCACGTTCAGGAGGGCCACGAGCTTCCCTGCCTGGTTCCCAAGGCCCACTGCATCCCCAGGTGGAGCGCCAACCCCATCCCATCCTGATGCACCCTGGCCTTCATCCCCCCCTCTAGGGGGGGGAAAGGGGGGGAGGGGTAGGGGCGGGGCGCAGGGGTGAAGATCGCACTTGCGCCTAGGTCCTCGAGCTCAGACATGTCGCCCTTCAGCGACAGCTTCGCCCTTGACGCCTTGATCTGCATGGCCTCGATCTCGCCCTTCTTGTCTTCGGTTTGACTTACGAACGAGCCACTGGGCCAGCCTCCTGCTCGCAGGGTTTGCGAGCACACCCTGCAGCGACTTCAGCGCTGGGCCCAGCTTTGCGTAGAGCTTCTCGCATTATACACTCCTTGTCTGGAGCTCTTTCTCTTCTTGTATTGGCCTTCTCCTTGTTCGCCTTATCCCCATTGGCCTCCTCCTTCGCTTCCTTCTTTGCCCTCTTCGTATTATTTTTATTGTTCTGGGCCTTCTTACTTGCCTTGACCGAATCTGATGAGGAAAAGCTCGAGCTCGAATCGTCATCGATTTACCCGCCCTTCTCCTCTGGCTCTTCTGACGTCTCTGGCTCTTCTGACTCTTATGGCTTGTCGGGAATATTGTCCAGCGGCTTGAACCTTTGCCCGACCGCCAGCTCGCCCCTGGGTGCCCGATTCCCCCTTCTGCCCTCTTTGCCCGCGCTCGCCTGTGGTCGTCAGGGGAAGCTTGTAGCAATGTCCGGGGACGTCGTGGCGCTGCTTATCAGACTCCCTCGATTTCGCCTGGATGACATCCGCGTCGTAGCCCTGCTGCTTCCAATGGCCCAGCGGCTGAATCGCGCCACCGTTCTCGAAGTACTCTTCGGCCACCTCGAACTTAGAAATAAACGCTTGAGCAGCAGTTGTCACCTCCGCTTGAGCCCCCCCCCCCAGCCATGTCTTGGGAAAACTGCGCCGCGCGGGGCGAATTGTCGTTGAAGCATGTCGGGATCTCCCCAAAGGCTCAGCGAAGCTTCACCCCCGTGATGTTGCACAGGTTGCATTTGAACGCGCCGTGCCCTCTGCTCCTAATGATGGCCTTGCTGCACCGCGCTCGGGAGCCGCACGTTTGGCAAAACACCATTGTAGTCTTGAT